TGGCGGCCTGTGGGCCGGATGCATCACGCGCAGGCCACACCCACCTCAGCTCCATGAATTGGGAAAACATTACAAAACATCATGTGATGACAATGTGATGCCCCGAGTTTGACACCCATGATCTAGTACTTCAAGCTTCCTTCTAATCAAAGAGATTAGGGACCCTCTTCCAAGGCAGCCTCTTGCAAACAGAACAGGGCTTAAAGAAACAGGATGCCTACATTGGAACCCATTAATCAAGCATCTTCTCCCATCTTACATAAAAAGATAAGCGTATTAATTGAGCAGTTCCTTCCTCCAAATATTTTCAGAGGGTAGCCAACAAGAAAGCATGACTCCATTCTACTTATTGCAAGCAAAGTATGGACTAAAGTGCTACTGAGTAAGAGAAAAAACGAGTTAGTATGAAGCCAAATCTAAAATACCAGTTCTTAAGTTGTCAGGTTAGAAAAGCAAAGGCAGAGCAGGGTTGCTGTTTCTTTAAGTGATTGCCAGATGCCTCCAAGTGGCTGGAAAAACCAGTTTGTATGCTTGGGTTTGAAGAACAAAGGGCAAACTTCCCAGCAGTACTCCAGATATTTCTAGAGAAATCTTTTTTAAACCGTCTGTCCAGAAATCTTCCATTCCTTTCAAGAGTTCTCAGCTTGTGTTGCTCTGCTAAATTGTGCTCAGAGGAGTTGGCTAAAGGAAGCTAAGGTGCAATGTGGCAGCTTCTTAAGTCTATCTTCGTATGAAATAGAAAAGTCCAGTTCCTTTTGCAGTCTCTCTTCTTAATTACAGAATGATGCAAAACAGGAGTACTTCAATCAGAAAAACAAGTCGTTAAAAGAAATACCTAGGCCAGGTATCTTACCAATTCCTTTAGTTGGCCTTACAAGCAAATGAAATAAAACCAAGTATATTTGCAAAACTGATTAATTTCCACAACATGGAAATATATAGCCCATTTAGGGACAGGCTTTTCATGTAATAGCATTTTTATTTTTAGAGTATTAACAGAGCTGGATAGACAACTTCAAAGCAACAAATAGTTAGTTTACTATACAATGGTCATCAGTAGGGTAATCACAGTATGGAGGCCCTCATCATGCTTACGGAATAACCATTAGAATAACAACCTACAGTATAATTTAATATAAAGGGAGAGCTAAGTAAGCACCACAACTTTTGCCAATCATTTTCAGCAGCCATATTTCATATCAGCATCCGAACCAATTACTTAGTTGAAGAGTGGCCTGGGATATTGATCCCATCTGGGTGATCCCATTAAATGATCCCATCTGGGTGAGTCCTTCCCAAGAAATTGGCAACCGCCATTCCAATCATAAAGGAAAGATTAATGTAACATGGCCTCATCTGTGCAATAAAAGTAAGGTAAAAGAGCTATATCTTAGATTTTAAAGTATCATAAAAATAGAGGAAAATGTATGTACCCATTTTCATATGATCCTTTAACTCAGTGGTCTCCAACCTTGGCAACTTTAAGACCTGTGGACTTCAACTCCCAGAGTTCCTCAGCCAGCTTAGCTGGCTGAGGAACTCTGGGAGTTGAAGTCCACAGGTCTTAAAGTTGCCAAGGTTGGAGACCACTGCTTTAACTCATAGCTGCTTATCTCCTATCCCCAAATTAAGGACAAAATAAGCTTGCATTATCAGAGGAAAAAAAATACATTGTTATGCTTAAGGAAGCTCAAACCTTGACTTAAACAAGCTCAATTAAGCAGGCTTTGACAAAAACAATGTTGTGCTTAAAGCAACAGGCAGTTACCTCCCTAGCCCTGATTCATTTGGCAAGATTATTAACTTGGTGTTGCTAACAGAACAATCATTCCCATGGAAATATTTCTTTGAGGTCACAAGTATAGGATTATGACATCACAAAAGGAACACTGGTAGAACAGATAAGTGGGAAGGAGCAATGCAATGGTTGTTTATACTTTATTTTATAGGATGCAGTTCTGATGTACCCAGGATTAAAGCCTTCAAGAGAAAGAAAAAAAACAAATACTAGTATTAATACAAAGGGAAATTTGTTCATTTAAAAACTTCTCCAATAAGTAAATTTAGGATATGGAAGTATATCAATTTTTTATATTCAAATCAAATCAAAATGGGGAAGCTTCATTTTCTCCTTTTTCTTTTTTTAGGTTTTTAAAATTTTATGGGTTACATATAAAGATCTAACCAACGACAATAAAAGATCTAGGGAAAATACTGTATTTTTTTTCCCCAACACCAGCTTTTAAGAAAAAATGAATGTAGGGATTTTTAGATCCTGAGCTCTCTGTTTTGTGGTATAAAAGATATGTTTGGCTGTCCTTCACGTCACAAATGTCTCGTGTTAATGTCTCATGTGTTATGTCTCATACTATCATGTCACAAGAATAATTGATAAAATATTATCATTCCCCCACTGCTGAAGCCGAACCACTTTGAAGTTAGTGTTGGTTCTGAAGAGGTGCAGGGCCCAACATGAATGAAGTCCTATGTCTGTGAGGCATACTATTTGGAGACATGGGAGTTTGTGATTTCCTGCATAATATGTATGCATCAAAAAGAAAACACAACCACGTAAGGTTTTTTTTATAGTGTTTTGAATAGGTTTAAGATTTGCATGATATTGGAGCAAACAAACACAGCCTTTTTATCTCAAGGCCTGGCCACAATCAATGAGTTAGCCTTTAAAGGTAGACTGGATGCCCTACTGAACTATAGACTTCCCCTGCCAGAATGCCTTTCGTTAGCCTGGAGAACTCTGCTTTAAGATTTTTCTGAAAACACTTGGTTGTTTTAACTTAAAGACACATTTAATAGATCAATTAAAAAAATCAAGATGGAAGAGGCTATCCCCCTTAGAAAAATTGCAGCCCATTCTTTACGGAGTTTAAAATGGTAATTCAAATGAGTGCTCCATAGTTAGAAAGAAAAATACAGATGTGGCAACAAAGAAAATTCAAATACAAATGGGTAGTGAGCAGACCTTGGAAAGAATGTGGTGTTTTGTTTGTGGCCTGCATTAGAGGCCAGATATACCACCTTTCACACCCAAAGGCAGGTATGTGGGATCCTCAAGCAGACAAAAATCAATCTTCCTTTGACAGGAGTGAACTTCCCAAACCAGTTCATCAAGTCAGGCAGAAAGAAGAGTGGGAGGGAGAAAAGAGGTGAGGCATAAGGGAGTGGGAGGGATATATAGTTTAAGGGAACTACAAAGGAAATATGAGTCACGGATCCAGGGAAGAAGAGTTCAGCACTCTGTTTATTCACTTCAATATGACCACCCCCACCAGCCATAAGCGCTTCACAATATGGCTTCTGGAAGGCCATTGTCCTCACTACAACCCCCACTGACTAGGGAGATAAAATATATTAGGGGCCCAGTAATCCAGAAAGCAGCCAATTAAAGGGCCAGGAGCAAAATCCACTTTTAGTTTTTGAGGTCTGCCCATTAGAAGTACATGCTTTAAACTTCAGAATGTTTATAAAAGGTGAATCCCTGCTAGCTCATTACACAATGGCGAACTTTTATGATGTTCTAACACAGACTCATAGTAAAAGGATGCCAGATTAAGGTGGCACTGAAGCTAACACCACAGATAAAACTATCAAAGGGATAATTGTACAATATCTGACAAATAGATTTTCTGCAAAAGTTATCCTTCTGCAGCCTGCAAGTTTCATTGCGTGACAAAGATAAAGACAGTCCTTGGCTTATGACTTTTCATTTAATGACAGTTCAGAATTACAACAGCCATGGAATGTATGCTTTAAGGCCTATAAAGCACTTCTGACCATTGCAAAATCACACAATTGCAATGTTGGTGCTTGGCAACCTGTTTGTACTTATGACTGACTGGTAGCCAAGCACCTTGTGATCATGTGATTTCCATTAACAAATTTCTCTGTTGCCTCCCTAGAAACTCAGTGCCACAGAGCTGTGATTCCCCCCATCCCAGACAGACCTTTGAGAGCAAAAGGGCTGCCTGCTGAGTGGAGGGGAACTCCTTTGACAGGCTAAAGAAACATAGATCAGATCCCCCAAATCAGGGGTTCTGTTTGCCTACATGTCAGTATCATTCAATGACCACAATCCCAGCACTCCTAATTGCGGTAGTTAAGCAGTCTTTTAAGTTGTTAAGCGGATGGCGCAAAAGGGCTGCCTGCAGAGTTCAGCTCCCTTCCATGTGTTAGAGAGGGAACTCCTCTGAAGTTCTGTTTGCTCCATCTGCTTAGCAACCTAAAAGACTGCTTAACTGCCACATTTGGGAGTGCTGGGGTTGTGGTCATTGAATGATACTGTCATGTGGGCATCTTACTTAATGACCGCTTCACTCAATGACTGAGATTCTGTTCCCAATTTGTAAATCGAGAAGTATCTATACCTAATTTTCTATTTTTTTTCCATTTACTATACAGATCCACCTTAGTATGTATTGGATTATTAAGCTACAATGCTTGGCTGTCCTATTTAATTAAATCAGTGTACTTCCTGGATAAATATAGCCCCTTCTTTTTCTTTCTTTCTAAACTTTAACCACTGTGTACTTGTTTCAGATTAAACTTAGAAAAATGCAAATGTTTCTTAGCCATCAAGCTCCTCAGAAGATAAGTTTCTCTTGGAGATGAGAGGCTACAGTGACTATTGCTGCTTATGTTTGTACTACATTTTTAACCTCTTGAGTATAACTTATTACAGTGACTATATTTTGTCACTGTACTTTTTAATCTACATATTAGCTTTTGGAATTGCATTCCACAAAGAAGGGTTTTGGAGCAGCATGTAAGCTTCTGAAAATGAATACAGAAACCCACTATTCAACTATGATGGTTGTGAGTATAGAAGGAGAGGGTGGAGCAGGATACCTCCTTGAATTTTTTGAAGGAAGGTGGGAGATAAATATGCTTAAGTGAATAGTAAATAAAATCTATCAAGCTATTGCCCTTGGGTCTTGTCTGAAATCCAGACAATTGCTTACATAATAAAATCAAATCTCACTCACCATACATTTTGCCTTCATCTGAGAGGATAATCTTCCGCCGACCACAGGGCGGGTATATTGCCAGTGCCTCCTGGAAGCTCTGTTCAATGTCTGGACTCCACACTCCTTCGGCATCATTGTCCAGACTTTTGTCCATTCCCTCTTGTCCATCTTCTCGCCCCTCCCCAGGGCTGCCGCTGGTGTTCCAGCTGTTGGACGCTATTGTGATGGCTGCTCTGGGCTCTGACCCTGAGCCCCAAAAGGCAATTCGTCAGCCTAAAACAAGCAAAGAAGGTTGATTAATGAACTGCCATTGAACATAGATGGAATCTTAACCTCCAGATTGAAGTTAAAAACAAATTTTGAATCACATAAACTTCAATATGGTGAACACCCAAATTTAAACAGTTGTTCATAGTAAGTTATTTTTAAACATACACATTAAGCACTTTTACAGCTGATGTCCTAACTTTATAAATTTGTTGACCATAATTGTAGCAATGTTTCAATGCTTTTACATACCCTTTGCCCTCTTTAATACTTATCCAAAGAAACCAAAAGATATTTTCTCATATATATTGAATATTTAAATAGCTCTGGCTCCAAAACTTATTTAAGCAATAGTACTTCAAACAAAAGTGTGCCAGAAATTTAATCCCTCACATATATGCCATTGTTCCACTTCCACATAACATGTAGCAAACACAGGGAATATGATCTTAAGAAATTATGATTTAATTATTTTCTAATTATCTTGGTTGTATTTTAGTTTACATTAAGAAACAAATATCCAAACGCTGAATTCTATAACCAGAGTTTGTCTAAATCCATTCCATCATGATAAACTATACTGTTGACTATTGGAGAAAGACATTAAACATTTTTTAACAGTGGTGTGGTTTGGAAAGATTTTCATCAGCACAATATACTTTTATTTAAGAAAAATACTGTGTTATAAAATTAATTGATAACATAATGAATTAAGAAAAATCAAACAATCTAATTAAGGATCTAATGTTTCGTCAAGTTGAAAATCCTACCATTTTGTGTGTTGTAATAATCTGTAATTCACAGATTGTAATAAAAATAATACTATATTAACAGATTTTAATGCCTTCATTTTATTTTGATTTTTAATCTGTGTAATTTTAATTAGGCAGTGGAAGTATTTCACTGAAACTATACCGCCTAAATCACGTAAATATTTAAAAATAGTGTAAGTAAAACTTTTAGTTTGAACATAACATTACAAAAATAAAATTAATTCGGCATGTTAAAAGGATACACCTTTCTTAGAACTGAATCAGAAGCATCTATTAAATACTGTCAAAACACTAAATCTTATGTGGTCGGAAGGGTATTTTCTTATACTTCCTTTAATGTAATCCTCTCAACCCTGAAATGTCTCTCTAAAATTATGGAGCCTTCTTGAATGTGATTGAGTTGAAAAGAGGGAATTGATCAAAAATTCATAGCTTTATTACATAGGTGTCTTAATTTAATTTTGGTCAATTTCCTCCTTCAGACAATTCAGATGAGTCTCAGACAAATGTTTTTCAGAAGATACAGATAGGAATGAGTGACTCTTGCACTGAACAGTTCTTAAGAATCTTTTTATATGTTATACAAAAAAAATTGAAGAAAAAAGCCTTCTGAATTTAAAAATTATAAACAGCAATGTCATCTACTGTAGATTTCCTAACAGAAAAAGATTAGAGCAATGGGAGTTTGTATCTTACAGTTCTATATTTATTCTATGTCTATTATTTGATGCACATTTTTCAAATATTCAGCACTGGTAATGATTAGTTAAATCTAAGCATTTACCTTCATATTTCCTTTTTCAGAGAAACACTATCTTGTTCAATGGCAGGCTGATAAATTTTACTTACAGCCTGGTGTAATGCATGTTTTATTTAGAAGTAAATCCTATTTTGTCCAATTGATAAATTCTTTGTGTGCTACTGAACATGTTGATGTGCTTTTGAAAATATAAAATTGTTCAGCCAGAGAGGAATGCAACATTATTTCTATGCTGATAAAAACTACCCAAAACTGCATGGTTAAAAATATTGAATTCCACTCCTAAATTATATAGAGTAGTTTTTGTAGCAAATCAGGCCATCTCGTTATAGTTTTAATGTTTAGAAGAAATATATAAGTTTCTCAGTGATTTGAAATAATCTTTTGAGACAATGGTTGGACATCATTCGGAGAGAAAATTGGGTATACATTGGTCCTTATGTTGAAAGTCCTAAGAAATCACAGGATTTTTTTTCTAGTTTTTAAAAATAATTTTCAGAAAGATTCTGCAAAGATCCAGACCCCTGTTTGCAATTCAGTGATTTCTGTAAGCCTGGAAATTGTGCTGGTTTCTTCCTACACATTACTCCAAAGGCAGCTGGGTGTTTTGCAATAACTTGTTTGGGGGCTGCAGCACCACCACTAGCTGGGGTGATGAGAGCAGAGAGGTGTCTTCTCCGGCAGGAGGCTTCCGGGAGAGAACACAACTAAGGTGTCCAATGCAGATATCTCCTTTTAAAGAAACTGTAGAGACAACGGGCTTTTTTTTTTTAAAGGAACCTCTTCTCTGCTTCTCTATGATGTCACCTAATCTCCCTCTTGCTTCCCCCTCCCCTTTCACCCACCCCACCCCACCCCTTCTTTGGAAACAGCGTAGCCAAATAAGGAGATCAGAATCACAGCAACTAGCCAAAGAGAAGGGGAGGGATGAAGGGGAAATTGCAGTCCACACAAGGCTCCAACACACTCTCAGTCTCTTTCCTACGTTTGTTCCCTCTCTCGGACATATACACACCATGCAACATGTCACACAACTGTACAAAATAATCAGGGATCCTCAGACTCTCAGAGAACATTCTGACAGCATAGGGTGCAACAAGAATTTCAAGAGCCGGATGTAAAAGTATGCAGTCCTGAACAACTTTCGAAGAGCCTATGAAGACTATGAAGGAAGGGTGGGCCTGATTCTAATAATCTTGAATAAAAGTTCTTTTTCTGAAAATCAGCCTCTGTGTCTCTTTCGCCCTCCCCCCTCAAATATACAAAAAATATTGATAAGATTGAACATGTCCAGAGACAGGCAACAAAAATAGTACAAGGTCTGAGGGACAAAACCGGAGGTGGATTCCTACTTGTTTGGACCAGTTCGGTCAAGTAGTAACTCGGCTGGCCACGCCCCTGAACTGGTTCTATCGGTGGCACCATAGGCGCCACCATCTTGTTTTTTTGCTTCTGCGCATATGCGCATAGCGTGCATCAAGTGAACCTGAGCAAACCAGCAGTAACAGAAGCCAGAAGCCACCCCTGGATAAAACATATCTGAAGAGACTGTAGGAACTGAATATGTACAGCCTGGAGAAGGGACGGAACAACATGATTGAAACCTTTAAATATATGAAGCATATGAATAAGGCTCTAGGCGGCAATATTTGCAACAGTAAGCAAAGATTAAGAACACAGGAATATAACCTTAAACTGTTAAGAGGGAAATTTAAAAGTAATGTTAGAAGGTATTATTTCACAGAAAGAGTAGTGGAAGCTTGGAACCAATTGCCAGTAGACGTAGTGGGTCAATCATCAGTAACTGAGTTTGAACATGCTTGGGATAAACATGTGTTCATCATCTCACAAAAATTAAAAAAAATAATCCAAATAAAAATAAATAAATAAATAGTTTTTTAAAAAAGGCTCAAAGGATAGACTCAATGGACCACTAAGTCTTTTTCTGATGCCAGTTTTCTATGTTTCAAGATAGTTCCCACCTTATTTTCCTTCTCTTTCTCCCATACAGATGGACAGATCTTAGATAAGGAGCACAACAAGAAACCTCTATTGCTACCCAGGGGATAAACCAGCCAAAAGCTCCATGTTTGGATCCTTTCAAAGGAATACATTCTTTTCTGTCTCTGTTGCCCATTTGCTTGCTGTTTCTGAGCTCAATTCTTACTAGTGCCCAGAAGAAGAAGGCAAGTTAGGGAAGGGCACTGGTAGTGACAGCTGCACTCCTGCCAGGCTCTTGCAACTGCCACTTTACTCAGCTGTTCAGAAAAGGAAGAGAGACAGAGTGGATAAGCAATGGATGAAGCAGCAACAGGATCAGGGAATTTCAGTAAAGGGCCTTGAGCAGATGCCCAGCAACTCCAGCTGGCAGCATTGGCTCTGTTGAGAAATCTTCTAACTGGAGTATTAAAATAGTAAGGAATTTTTCTCAAGCTGTGATCCACTTTGTGCAGTTCCCCACCTGAGATTCATCCTTCACTGAGGAAGGACATTGGAACATCTTGTTCTTGCCCTGGAATCAAGAGTGTACCATGAAAAAAAAATGATGTTACTTATTTTCGCAAAAGACCATCTTCCCTGCCTTGATTCAGTTTTCCAGAAATTCAGGAATGCCAATGCCAGTCAGGAAAACCATCAATAATGAAGAGCTAGCTATGGACGCAATCAAATGTGAAAAGATGTTTTGCAAATTTTAGAACGTCTTTTCACATTTTAGACATTTTAGAAGTCTGTTCATGTTTCAAATCTTTTTTATTATCAACAGATTTGAAATGGCAATTGTTATCCTAAAGATCTTTTTCTTTCTGTCACAAAGGCATAGAATACCGCATTTTTCGGAGTATAAGAAACACCTTTTTCCATCAAAAAGAGGCTGAAAATCTGGATGCGTCTTATACACTGAATACAGCATTTTTTGCCTCCTGAAACCCTGCCCCTTCACCAAAATGGCTGTGCATATCTTGTAGGCGGCTTTCAGAGAAGTCATGGGGGCTAGGGAGGGCCGAAATGAGCAAAAAATGGGCTGTTTTTTGCTCAATTTTGCTTCCCCTGGAGCACTTCCTAATGCCCCCCCTTTTTTGACAAAAAACGGGCCCGTTTTTGTGAAAAACAGGCCATTTTTTACTCATTTGAGCAGCCACATGCACATTTATGGCCATCTGGAGGTCGTTTTGCAGGCCTCTGGCAGTGTTCCTCCTGTCCCTCCTTGTACAAAGGCGGAGGTAGTGGTCCTGATACTGGGTTGTTGCCTTCCTACGGCCTCCTCCATGTCTCCTGATGTACTGGTCTGTCTCCTGGTAGCGCCTCCATGCTCTGGACACTACGACAGACACAGCAAACTTTCTTGCCACAGCTCTCATTGATGTGCCATCCTGGATGGGCTGCACTACCTGAGCCACTTGTGTGGGTTGTAGATGCCGTCTCATGCTACCACTAGAGTGAAAGCACCGCCAGCATTCAAAAGTAACCAAAC